TTAATACCTGATTTTCATTAAACTGCCTCATCCTTATTATGCCTGGGGCTACTGAGCACATGCTTATTTCCACACAGGCACAGGCACATTACTTTACCCCATACCATAATTTACATTCTCATTTTCTCTACGATTTCCATTACAGCAGTCTGATTTATAATAGAAATTGTAAGAATGTCTTATCCAATATGTGCACTTGAAATTGTTAAAACGTAATATTCTTTACTCTAAAAGATCAATAAATATGGACTAAATTGATAATTATGGAGTAAGTTCATAATATCTGTTGTTACTACCTGAATAAAAGTCAATAAAACATTTTTAAATGAATTACATCCACCTGTAATAACATCATTGGAGAGTTATGAAGTTGTTATTCGTCTGTTTTATTAATGAATTTAATAGTTGGGCCAACACACCATAGATTTAAAGGACACTATATACATCAAGAGTATAATATATACTTACAGTTTTATGTTTGATTTGTTTAAACACAAAAATCACCAACTTTTGATATTATTTCTACAGTGGATTTTCTTTTTCTTGACAAAAGTGCCTCTTTCTATGCTGGAAGCTTCATAGTAACCACCAAATGACAGCGGATTGCATCTCTTAATGAATATTCACGTCAAAGCAATGTTTGTAACATTTTTCATGTCATTGCTTTTTACCCTTCTTCAACACACACTTTGAGAATTACAGTGAATTCTTGAAATCTTGTAGGAAATCTCTCCAATCTATATAGTGGTCTTTTAATGCTTTTTAAAACTAAAAGTCTTCAAATTAAAAAGAAATCAAAAACAAGCATTTATGGGAGTAAACCACATCAGAAAGTCCAAGATTTTATCCAATTTTCTTAACATTTAAGCAGAATAATAATTTTCAAGTAAGAAAGCACAGAACACTAACAATAAAATACAAGCTCCTTAAGCAGAAGTAAGGACTTTTGTCCTTTCACTCATTAGGATGTTCCCTAATTTTAAAATAGTATTTGATGCAGAGTAGACAGAATGTCTGCTGAATAAATGGGTGGCTAAACTAATTAATGAGTGTGTGTGACACAGAAAATTGATAAAGATTCTCCCAGTCACATAAAACAGAGCTATGCTCCTGTGATTTCATACAGTATGAAACGTGGAAACAGTTCAGATTCCAACACAGTGCACTGAGTTTCAGTGTAAAAGTAAAAAATGAAAAATCTTGGTTTTTAAATGGCTACAATATGGCACGGTGAACTCAGATATGTAAAAGCTCTAAAGCAATGCACAAACGTATTCTAGTGCTGCAGACTGGTTGCAACGTCTACAAACACATAATGTTAGCGTATCATCTAATCATATGAAGGTGAGGATAAATGAATACCAACCGCAAAGTGAAGTTGTGACAACAGACTGTTGACAGTTTTTAACTCTAACCTGAAACAAAAAACATACAGACAGTATACTCAACTACGACAGGTTTTGTGAAACAATATGTATCCTTTCTCATTTAATACTTTCAATGTTTTCTAATCTAGTCCATATTTCTTAAAATTGTATTTATTTATATTTTATGTGCATGCATGTTTTGCCTGCATGTATGGAAGTGGACCACATGCTTGCAAACCCAAGGAGGCCGGAAGAGGGTTCTGGATCCCCAAGAACTAGAGTTATGAACAGTTATTAGTTACCATGTGGGTGTTGGGACCCAAACCTGGGTCCTCTATAAGAGCAGCCAGTGCTCTTAACTGCTGAGCCATCTCTCCAGCTCCCTATTTCATCTTTATTTAACTGCTGTTCAAAGTGTGTTATTTCAAGATCCATTTGTTTGAAAAACATTGGGTTTGAGGACTCAGCAGATATGATGGGTAGACCACTGAAATGGAAACTCAGAAAAGCTCCAGCATCCTCCCTGCTGAGGTGGCAATCCCTTTCCTGCTCCAAACCACTGTGTGTGGATTTCCCATCTATATCAAGCCACGGCATAGGAAGGGGGAGTGCTCAGGCCTTTTCTTCTCATTTCTGGGTATGTTTTGGCCTTATCATCATTCTCTCTACAGTAGATGAATAAAATGAAACTACTCTCATTTCTGAAAATATACTGAATTCCATCTGTACTTGAATTTATCTGAGTCTGCCAGAGACACATCATCACAGTTAACAAAACTCATTCTTCATGTAGATAAAAATATGATTGTGAGAGTTGGAGAGAGGGCTCGGCAGTTAAGAGCACTGGCTGTCCTTGCAGAGGACCCTGTTCGGTTCCCATCACCCACATGGCAGGTATCAATGATCTGTAACTCCAACGCCCTCTTCTGCATCTCTGGGTGTTGCATAACAAGGGTGCACTTATACACATGCAGGCAAAACACTCATACACATAAAAAATATTTTTTAAAAAATATGATTTTGAATCCACAATCGTTCCTTCAAGATCTTTTCAGGGGCCAAACTTTGATCTAGGGCTAGGGATTACAACAGAAGTCCTAGGGGTCAGGAATTTATGTTGTTTAGAAAACCAACAACATAATTAAATATGTAGAAACAATCAGAAAAGTTATGAAGGGGCCAGGTGTGTTGGTACAAGCCTTTAATCACAGAGGCAGCTAATCTTTGTGAGATCAAGGCCAGCCTGTCTTACATAGCAAGTTTTCCAGCTGGGGCTACAGGAAAACCCTGTCTCAAAAAGACAAACAACGAAAAAAAGCTATGAAGGAAAATGCCAACATCTATGATTGGAAAATATTTCAAGTAGCCAAGGAAGGCCATTGTCTTTCAAGCTATTGATGTGAAATACTGAAGAGAAAATTTATTTTCCAGGCATTTGACATATAAAAGTGATTCAGGAAAGATTTGTCATTGGCGGGCCAGCATATCTCCAGCCCTTTGAGAATTTGGGAACACTGGTACAGGATGAGAGATAGGCAACTACTTGAAGTTACTTGATTATCTCAGTAAATGGAATGGGAAATTCCTCAAATGACATGATCTTACTCAGATTTTTGTAAAGCTCCTGCCTAATGCTGTGTTTAGAAGGTATTAAATTAGATAGGGGTGTAGCTAGAAGCAGTGAGATTCCTTAGAGAGCTGTTTTCTAGGCAAGAAAGATATTTTTCTTGGTATCTAGAATAGGGTGTTGCCACTGAAAATGGAGAAAGTACAGACAAGACAACAAAATTTCTGTTCAGAATTTTTTTTTCTGGTCTTTTTGAGACAGGGTCTCCCTGTAGCCTCAGCTGTCCTAGAACTCACTATGCAGACCAGGCTGGCCTTGAACTCACAGAGATCCGCCTGCTTCTGCCTCCAGAGTGCTGGGATTAAAGACGTGCACCACCACGCCCGGCTAGAATTTTTTAAAGAAACCATAGAGTGAATTGAAAATTGGGTTAACAGTAAACACATTCTGGGGCTTAGTGGGTAAAAGCATTTGCTGCCAAGCCTAATGATCTGAGTCGGATGCCCAGGTCCCACCTGATGAAAAGACAGCACTAGCTCCTGCAAGGTGTCCAGCGATTTCCACCAGCATGCCTGGGTGGGTTTGTACAAAAATAAATAAGTAGATAAATAATAAATAGATAAAATTTTCAAAAACAGTGAACATATTCAAAAGAGAAAATGATATTTTTTAGAAAGAATGAAGGAGGTATACACTAAGCAAAAGGCCCAAAGTTTCAGGTTAAATTCTCATATTTACAACACTAATCTGAAAATTTTTCAATCCAAGGTGGTTGAACCCAGGCAATTGCAAAAAACAAAAACTTTATCCAATGAAAATAATGAGGTAAGATTTAACTAAAATAAGTTCAATGAGGAACAGCAATAACACTTGGTTGTACATTAGAATTCCCTGGGGTGCTTTTAAAAACTAGATACCTAAGTTCCCCTGAGTGAGGCTGATTTAATTGGACTGAGGTGGACTCAGGCATGGGTATTTCTTTAAAGCTCCTTGGAGGATTTTCATGAGCAGTCAGGACTGAGAGCCTTGAGTTACCAGAACAGCTGAGGATGGCCAGTCAATAAACCTATTTCATTAATGACACATTAATAGAGACAACTGGTAAAGGGGTATACCACCAAGAAGTATAGTGAGTGGTTCAACATAAGTATTTTAACACAAGAAAATAAAATCTCATTTCCTTTAGTGATTAATTTTTGAGCTTTAAAAGATGCTTTTGTTATTAGGAAAACATTTAAATATACAGCACACATTTTTAAATAATTTTATTTCCATTATGAACAATGAGAAGAGATTGACAGTTGATGGTTGATTGACAGAAAATCTTTAAGAAATAAGTACCAATCTTGCCTTTACAAGGGGATACACAAGGGGAGGAGATATGAACCACATTGAAAGAGTAATCAAAGAAGATGTAGGATTCCATCATTTCTTCAAGGAAAAAATATGTATTTGTGTGTGTGTGTGTGTGTGTGTGTGTGTGTGTGTGTGTGTACGCATGGTGTATGTAAATTGATTACCAGATACACTGGTAATACATTTGAAGATATCACACCACTGATGTTAATTGTTCTGTAGTTTGCACTTTCAAAGATTTAACTCTTGACTGACCATAAAATTTTCAGAGTTGAACCCAGGGTCAAACAACTATTCTCCGGAAATAAGAGACTGGAAACACAAATCTTCTATTACTACCAGCACGATGCCTGTTCCTTGTGTGTGAGAGTGTCATTGAAAGCCAGAGTAGTTCTACTATTTGGCCTAAACTATTCAGTTCTTTGGGGATCACGTTAGACTCATAAACCAGATTTTTCGTGGTTAGGTTTTTTTCACTTTGCCCCATTTACACATTCTATGTATCCTAACTCCAATGAAAACTGCATGTAAAGCAATTTATAAATAGCCACCTCCTGAGAGTTTTGGTGAGTTACAACTGTCCAGGGAAGCAATGTGGGCTGTGCCACCATAATTCAATAAGGGGGGAAAAAAAAAAAAAAAAGCCTGTAAGTCAAGCATACATCCACAGGGGGATTAGGTGGATTTCTAGTGTGGTTGTCTGCCTCAGTGATGGGGGGGCGGGGGAGCCAGAGACCGAACGCCTGAGGAAGGAGCAAGAACTGCAGGGATCACTGCACAGTGATGTGGTGGTGTGAAACGAGTTGTTATGGAACTAGAGGCGCAAAACAAAAGCCTGAGCCCTGTAGTCCAAGGAGACGCCGCTCGCAGGAGGTGGGAAGAGACAATGCGAACTACAAGTCCCAGCAGCCCCCGGCACCGGCGACCGCACGGCGGACCGCGCAACGGCTGCTGGGAGGCGGCTGCAGCGGCCAAGATGTCGCAGACCAAGAGAAGAAAGCTCGAGTCGGGGGGCGGCGGCGCAGGCGGGGAGGGATCCGAGGAGGAAGATGGCGGGGAGCAGGAGGCGGCCCCGCAGCGACCCCGCAGGACTAAGCGCGAGCGAGACCAGCTGTACTACGAGTGCTACTCGGACGTGTCGGTCCACGAGGAGATGATCGCTGACCGCGTCCGCACCGACGCCTACCGCCTGGGCATCCTGCGGAACTGGGCAGCGCTACGAGGCAAGACGGTGCTGGACGTGGGTGCGGGCACCGGCATTCTGAGCATCTTCTGCGCCCAAGCCGGCGCCCGGCGTGTGTACGCCGTGGAGGCCAGCGCCATCTGGCAACAGGCCCGGGAGGTGGTGCGACTCAACGGGCTGGAGGACCGCGTGCATGTCCTGCCGGGCCCCGTGGAGACGGTGGAGCTGCCGGAGCAGGTGGACGCCATCGTGAGCGAGTGGATGGGCTACGGACTTCTGCATGAGTCCATGCTGAGCTCGGTGCTGCACGCGCGGACCAAGTGGCTGAAGGAGGGCGGCCTCCTCCTTCCGGCTTCCGCCGAGCTTTTCGTCGCCCCGATCAGCGACCAGATGCTTGAATGGCGACTGGGTTTCTGGAGCCAAGTGAAGCAGCACTATGGCGTGGACATGAGCTGCCTGGAGGGCTTCGCCACGCGCTGCCTCATGGGCCACTCGGAGATCGTGGTGCAGGGTTTGTCCGGCGAGGACGTGCTGGCCCGACCTCAGCGCTTTGCTCAGCTTGAGCTGGCCCGAGCCGGCCTAGAGCGGGAGCTGGAGGCGGGGGTGGGCGGGTGCTTCCGCTGCAGCTGCTATGGCTCTGCGCCTCTGCACGGTTTTGCCATCTGGTTCCAGGTGACCTTCCCCGGAGGGGACTCGGAGAAACCCCTGGTGCTGTCTACCTCGCCTTTTCACCCGGCCACGCACTGGAAGCAGGCGCTGCTCTATCTGAACGAGCCGGTGCCGGTGGAACAAGACACGGACGTTTCCGGAGAGATCACTCTGCTGCCCTCCCGGGACAACCCCCGGCGGCTGCGCGTACTGCTGCGCTACAAAGTGGGGGACCAGGAGGAAAAGACCAAAGACTTTGCCATGGAGGACTGAGCGTTGCTTTTTCGCGCATCCACCTCCCAAAGCAGCCTGGCCTGCGTGGGAGAGGCTAGGGAGGTCAGAAGAGAAAGGGAGATCCCGTGTGCAAGTAGGGGGCCATAGCTCTGTCTCTTTCGCCTCGTGGCTCCCGGGGTGGAGAGTGAGAGGAGGTGCTTCTAGCATTGCTTATTTAAAACGTGATCCTCTGCAACCAAGGACAGATGCAGCGTGCTTATTAATGGGCTTTTAAGCCTGGAAAGCATATAGTATCAAGCACTTGTATTTCCATTTATTTTTTTTTCACTGTGGGAGAGGGGATGAAAATGTGAGTTTATAACTGATACCTCACCCCTTATCTAAATCTGAAACTGGGAGAAAGGTAAAAGGTTCAGCTAGAAAGAATCAAGACGAGTTAAATTTGTCTTGACAGATTCTGAATTCTCTCCATTCCTAGATGCCTGTATGCTGTGGTACCCGTGCCTCTTTGTTTTCTAAATAAAGTTCACTGTTCCTAAGCAATTGGAACAGATGAGGAAGTAGTTTAAATAGCCCTCTTCCCTTTACTCTTAATCCAGGGGGTGCTAAACTCGATTGAACACTGTAGTCCTCTAAGTGAAATGGACATGACCTGATTGTTCAGCCTGCCCAGGCAATTCTAAACGTAACAGGAGAAAGAGTCTGAAAGTGAAATAGTGTGGGAAACTTGTTTTTGCTTTTAAGACTGAGCCACTTTTTTCCCCATTTATGTTCTATAATAAATATGTGTGTGATTTTTGTGAATCAGTCTGATACACTCATTCCTGAACCTAACTCAAAGACTTACTTTTTGCCGTGAGCTTTATTTAAAGTCATTTGGAAGGACCATGAACTTGCCCTGCTTAGTTCTAATAAAAGTTCCTTTTAGCTCAGCCAAATGTGAACATTGTGAGTTTGGGAAAATTGCTTGTAACAAAGTATGAGTCATGTTATCACATTTATTTCCCTGATGTTTTTTTCCCTCATCTCTATGGCAAATAAAACATTGTCATTCTCACGGATTTTATAGTTGAAGTATTAAAAAAGTTTCATAGACCATCTCTGAGTTATAGTGCTCTTGCCTTTCTGATAGTGTTCTTGAGTGTTCCGACCCCTTCAGAGCTTCAGGATAACCCAAATTTTGCTTAATACCTGAATACTACTAGCCCTGAAAAGGCCTACTAGAAAGCAAGTGTGAAAAACTGCTGTTCCTAAGTACTCACATTTTAGTTTTTGTGACCTTGCTGCTGGTTTTGGCATTTTTATTCATTTTATATTAACTAAGGTATTAGAACTAGTTTGTTGAGACTCTAACATTTGAGATCTATTTTGAAGGAAAACATGTAAAATCAGTTTTACAAGATCAGCAAGTGGTACAACAAACTCACCATTTTGATGTCAAAATAATATAGACATACTTGGTTTAGAGGTTTAAATGTAGCTCCTTTAGAACCATCTGTATTTTAATCAAACTTACTTAGAGTAGATTTCTGGTGATTTTGTTTGTTTAACCTTGCTCTAGCAGTCCCTTTAGGAAATGAAACTATGGAATTCCATTTGCAAATTTTGTAAATGTAAGCACTAAAGAGTTCTTAAAACAGCAACAAAAAGACAGGAAGGAAAACCCAATTAAAGCTTGGGAAAGTGTAAGAGATGAGGTGTTTCAGGAGCAAGCAAAATAAGTTTCAAAATTCTTATGACCTTTTATCCAAAGAAAAATAAATTTGAAAAATACAGCTGCTAAAGCAATCACTAAAAGCAGCAAGCATGGTGTAAGGCTGAAGAGCCGGGTCCCTGGAGCCAGACAATCCAAAGCACTAGCATTCTGTGGCCTTGGGCAAACTAGCCTTTTATTTATTTATTTTATTTCCCCTTTCAAAGCTGTCATGCAGAATGGAGATAACAATAGTTCCTACTCCCTACTCCATAGGCAACTGAGGATGCATCAGATTAATACAGGTCACCACATAGTACCTAATACAGAATAAGCTCCCAGCAACTCCACACCACTATAATTGTGTAAAAGTAGAGGAACCTCAAACAAGTAGGATATACCCAAAATGTTAGAGGATAAATATTTAACTTTTTTTTTTCTTTTGAACAGATGCTGTGAATAAGGAGCAGTATATGCCACTGGGTACCCAAGGATCCAAAGGACCACCACAGTCTTTAGGATGAAGTCACTTCGGAAGGATGAAAAGTGTGGGAGATGTATCAGCACCCAAGTACTATCCAATATGTTTATGTGGACTGGGATTAGGAGCCATTAGGGCCACAGGCAGGGATTACCAGACCCAAAATAGAGAACATAATAAAGTTCTACCTGTGTCCCCCATAGTTTACATTTATTTAGCCCTGTAAGATTTTCCAAATTTTTTCTTTTGATTCATTGGACCAGTAAATATTTTACTGAAATTATGTTCTAACAATCATCGTGATGGGTATTTGGAATACAAATCAAAAAAATGTAAACTGTCCTCTAAAACTGTTTGTGTGTGTGTGTGTGTGTATTTGGTCTTTTTGAGACGGGGTCTCCCTGTAGCCACAGCTAGCCTGGAACTCATTAGACTAATCTCACCTCCCATCTCACAGAGATTCATCCACCTCTGCCTCCAGAGTGCTGGGATTAAAGTCATGTGTACACGTGGCTTACATATATAATCCTTACTTGTTTGTTTTTTATTTCTTTGTGAGACAAGGTCTCATGAAATGTACTATGGCCTGGGACTCAGTGTGTAGCTAAGGATGACCTTGAACTCCTGATTCTCCTGCCTCCACCTCCCAAGTGCCAGGATTACAGCTCTTAAGCTGCCATGCATAGCACATATCTAATTACTTAACAGTTAAATCTTAAACACAACACTTTCACTTCCTAAACCCAAAGAAATTGACTTTTTCCTGCCTACTTCAATTAAAAACAGAAAAGCATATACCACTGGGATGGTAACAGTTTTATTATTTGATGAAAAATTAAGGAAAAGTCTTTAGTCCTAGAAAGTCTCATTCATGGGAGATCCTCTTAAACCCAGAAAAAAAATCACCTTCGGTACAGAGGATTTTGAGTTTGACATAGTAAGCAATCATTGGAACAGCTCTAAATTCATTATTCTAACAGTTAATAAGATGTGGCACTCTCTGAGTTCCCCAGAAAACTGAATCCATGGCACAGCAAAGGCCACTTAACTCCTTGTCGTTCTGGCCATAGCTACTTGATTCTGGAGAACAGAAAGGCAGCTGCTGAATCTGAAACATACTGACAATGCAAGTTCAAGGAGGTATAGGTAAAAGGCACCTGCAGGAACAACTGCCTAACATTTTGTGTACCGCTAGCCCTGTTGTTAATCTACATTCTACACAACCCAGTGCTAAGGAATTTTGGGACGCATTGAGTAACAGAGGTCCCCCTCCCATGTGTGAATCTTTGTACATGTTTATCCACTTATTGATTTCATTATTAACAACTACATAATACTTAAGCAGTGTGATAAATAAATGCATCTTTCCCCAAAGAACTAGGGACTATAGGGAAAATAAAATTCCACCAGTAATTTGTATGCATTTTTATGCCTGAAAACAGTTCATTTCCAACTTTTGATTCTGCTGCTGCAAGATTGAGAAGGCAACTATCTTAAACTTATCCCAACAGCAAAAATAATGTTTATATCATCAGATAGATTATGAAGTCCTGGAAAACTTCCCTGTCTGATAATCTAAAATTAGTATCTTCCAAATGCTTTGCTTCATAATAGGCCAGCGATTTAGTATATGATTCTCCTTAGCTACTAAAAATACATCAGATCTATGCTTCACTTGTGGGATTGTTTTTTGTTTTTCTTTTCAGCTTTACATTTGATCTCATTTCTATGCTCCAGTTTGTTTCTGATTTATCAGCTCTTGTAATAAATACATGTTTTATTGAAATCTGAGTAACCTGTTCTTATTCTTTTGGGCATTAAATTATTTTTGGAAGTCAGGAATGTGACTCAGTAGTTGAATACCTGCCTAGCCCATACAAAACCCACAATTTGAGACTAAGTACTGCAATAAACAAAATACCTGGAGAAATTCTGAAGATGAAGAGTTTAGATAAAAGACTAGACTACTCTTAACATGATCGCTTTATTTCCAATAAAGTGTGGTTGTCTGAGATTTTTCAGTTGGATTGTTAGCTAGTTTAATCCCATTCTTTTAACTAATTTTACAGGATTTTACATTTTAAAGAACCAAGATTTCCAAAAATGTGAAAGTTGAGACATAGATGATCAAGGAAATCTTGACTATTCTGCTCTTTTTCCTAAGCCCAGACCAGACCCTGATAAATCTTAATAGTAGGAAGAGTTAGTGATTTCTAAATATTTTCCAAAATCCCCCAGAACAGTTTAATGGCAAGGATATGATACAATTAGTCTACCTAAAATATATTTGTAGGAAAAGACATTGGGAATAAAAACAACTTCTTGAACATGATTAAACACCAAAAGGATTTTTACAAAAATTAGGACATGCCCAGTAACCTTGTAATTGTAATCTTTTGGAACATTTTATACTTAAATTCATTATCATAATAACTGCAGGGAAAGGTGGGTGAAATTTTCAGTTGATTCAAGAACTTTAAAGACTTAGAGCAGACCAAAATGAAAAAACTATCCTGTCCAGTGAGAACTAGAAAAGAACAGAAAACTAGTAGGAAATCTCTGCATGTTAGGAATTGATCCGCAGGCATTCCTACATCCATGTGATTGATGTGCTTGTGAAAAAGCTTCACAGTCTGCAAAGTTGTTCCCCTAAAGATAGCAGGTGGAAAAAACAAATAGGCGAGGCATCAAAACCTATAGAGCTGGGTCAGTGAGTGAACAAACAAAACTAAAATTCTAATAAAAATAGAGTTTACAAACAGTAAATTCCTAGTGATTACTGCAGTAAACAAAGGTAAAGAGCTTGGTAGAAAGGAGTAGAGAAGACTAAACAGAATTCACAATGATGGGAGGTTTGGTACACAAGTCTAAGATGGGGAGAAAGTTGCCAAAGAACCAACAGCAAGACTAGTCAATCAAGTACCCAGAATTCCTCTTGTGCTCACTGCCTTCAGCTGAATGGGGGCCCTTATGTTCAGTGGCTGTTGCTGCTGGGAACAAAATATTAATGATGGGAATGATCACACTTGAAGCAACCAGCTTCCACTTTATCTGCTGACATCATGTCTCTTAATGACCAATTGATTCCAGTTCATTTATTTTACATAAACATACATTGTAGCTAAATATTCTGTCCTTTGTTTGATTTCTAGAAACTAAAGTAACTCAAAGTAGTGTTGGTTTTCTGGAGCTTTTCAACACATTTTTCTTCCATAAAATGTGTTTTTATTGAATTTTTGTGCATTTCAAATACAATATATCATAATCATATTTAGACACCTCCCGCATTGGTGTCTGCATGCCCCCAGAGCTCTCCCATTGGATTTCATGCATTCTACCATGTATGTTAAGGCCTATCGAGCCAAGTTTGTCAATACATACTTCCTTGAAGGGGAGAAGGATGGAGAGCTACAGATAAATACGCTTCCATATGAATTCCTATACTTCATTATTTTGATAATCAGGAAAGTGAATAAGAAAAGGCAAATATAAATTTTGACTGGTATAGCACAAAAGGAAAGTAGTTGAGTACAGATACCGGAGTCCAGGAGGTCATTAGATAGAGGAGGCTGGACGCAAGCGCCTTCTCCCACAGTCACAGGACAACACAAAAACACCTTGGGCCAAAGAAATTTGAATTTAAGATTAGTGTACCTGCTACATACCATCTCCAGCATCCCAATTACCTTAGGGTTTTTCTTAAATTATGTGTTTATAAAATAACCATACTTTGGGAGGCAGAGGCAGGCAGATCTCTGAGTTCAAGGATAGTCTGGTCTATATAGTGAGTTCCAGGCCAGCTGGGATTTCAGGGAGACCCTATCTTAAAAAGACCAAAATAATAATAATATAAATAAAAATAACTGTACTTAGATTGATGGTAAGATGCTGTTTATTTTGATATATAACATTGTCCTTGTCTTTAACTTTCCTGGTGTTTTTTTAAATTAGGTCTCACTATGCAGTCTAACCTGACCTAGAAGTTATGATCTCTCTTTTTAGCTTATTTTCTAGACCTGTTTGAACACTACTGTGTATAAGTTATTTAGCCCTCAAATTTGTAAACACAATCTTTCTGCAACTATGCAATTTAATAATGGAAATATGGAGAAGTTTAATGATTAGGCTTTAATTTTAAAATAGGATTTATTACATATTATGCATTTATTATATAATCTGTATAATGTTAATATATTAGTAATTGGGCTGGAGATATGGCTCAGTGGTTAAGAACACTGGTTGTTCTTGCAGAAGACCCGGGTTCGAATCCCAGCACCCGCATGGCAGCTAATAACTATCCATAACTCCAGTTCCAGGGGATCCAACAGCCTCTTCTCTCCTCCACGGCCATTGCACAACATGGGTGCACTTACCTACATGCAGGCAATACATACATACACATAAACCAGAGAAAGGATTAAGATCCATAAATGGCTAAAATTTTTATTCTATACATTCATTAAATCAGACTTTTGGGGCATACATCTGACACAGTCTCTTGCCTTGTCTTCTCATAAGACTCAGAATCAAGTGATTTCTGGTCAAGACACAAGAGCAAAACTGTTCCATTCTCCAATGTATTCAGGTGAACACTGGTAACAAAATCAGGTAGAGCTCCAGAAGACACTGGTGGAGAGCCAAGCTGGGTCTGTAAGGACTCACACACAGAGCACAACTGACATGGCTGAGCTGAATCATGGTCATCTGTCAGTTCTATCAGATGGAGCTGGAAGGTTTGTTTTTAATATTTTATTTTTATTTTATGTGTGTGAGTGTATTACCTGCATTGGTTCTATCAGATGGGCTGGAAAGATTTTTTAATATTTTATTTTTATGTGTATGAGTGTATTACCTGCATGTATATAAGTGCACTTATGTTGTACAATGCCCACAGAAGTCAGAAAAGGGCATCAGATCCCCTGGAACTGGAGTTACAGATGGTTGTTAGCCACCATTTGAGTGCTGGCAACCGAACCCAGGTCCTCTGCAAAAGCAGCCAATGCTCTTTAACTGCTGAGCCATCTCTCCAATCCCAGGAGCTGGAAATTTTTAATGAACAGATTTGTTCATATTTAAATTAGGAATTTGATTTGCTTTGTATCTGCTCTGCATGAGCAAACTGATTGGATCAATAATAAATATATAGAACCTTTTGAAAAAAATCAGACTTTTCACAAAGACTTTTTATAAAAATACCAAGCTACTTATTTTGATGTGAACTATTTAGTCTACCATCATTTAACATCCAGTCAAAAAATAGGAAGCATTTAAATGCTTCTGAATATGCAATAAAAGGCAGAATTAAAAAGAGAGCATTTGGAAAATCCTAAGATTAAATATACAGTTTTTGCATAATTGAGAATTCTCTCTAGTCAGAGTGATTAGAGGAAAACAAGGAAAGAATGACAGCAATTACAACAAAGGATTTCAATACAAGATAGAATTAGAAACCACTAGGAAATACACTGCTTGTCACAATTAAATATCAGTTGTCTTTCCTTGAAACTTTAGCCAACATGGTTTTATAGAGCCTAGACATTCTTATAAGATAGGTTTACATACATATTCATTTCATGATACTGGGTCTAAGAAAAATATGATTCAACTTCCAAATGGCAAGTCTTTATACAGACATGAGATAAAATGGCTGATTTCTGCTAAGCAAAGAAAAATTGGTCCCATAAAGGATGTGATAACTGTATTGACTCTATAAATAGTAATTTCAAGATATTAAAATGACACATTATTCAATGATAAAATATGTGCTATGGTTGTTAATGGGGGTATCACTTAAATTTTTTTAAACATTTTTTAAAAATTTTTAATTTTTATGTGTATGAGTGTATTGCCTGAATGTATATAGTTGCACCTGTGTCATGCAATGCCCAAGGAGGTCAGAAGAAAGTGTCAGAGCCTCTGGAACAGGAGTTACAGGCTGTTGTTAGCCATCATGTGGGTGGTGAAAATGAACCTGGGTCCCTGCAAGAGCAGCCAGTGCTAAGCCATCTCTCTAGCCCCCATTTTTAAAAAAAATTGTTATCCATTTTAACTTATTTTACACCAAATGTTATATATTTGCTTTTTAAATTTTCATTATATTTAATTGTTTAATTAAACAATTTTCATACGTGTATGTAATGTGTATTTGCATTTGGTGCGTGTGCGTGTGTGTGTGTGTGTGTGTGTGTGTGTGTGTGTGTGTGTAGGCCCAAACTGACACCAAGTGTCTTCAATCACTCTCCACTTTATTTAGGTAGGGCCTCCCCCTCATGCCAGAGCTAGCCAATCCAGGGTAGTCTAGCTAGATTGCTTGCTCAGGAATTCCCTGTCTCCAGAGTACTGAGATGATAGATAGCAGTTGCACTGGCCTAGCTTTCACATAGGCTCTGCAGATCTGAGCTCAGGTCCTCATGAGATGTTTTTAATGCTGCAGTAATAGTGAACAAATATAAAAACATTTAGAAAGAAAACATTAATAACCTCCTATTGTGTATAGTCCAGAGTATATCTTTCCACTAAATAAATATATAGACAAATATTTATTTTAAA